ACAATTGCTATTCAATGTGCAGGTCTGTTTTTCAGTGTAGTCCTGTTTCTCTGACTGTGACTGGCCGGATGTGCTCTCTTCATCCTCTGACATGGGAGCTGGCTCGGAGCTCGTATGCCTGGCTGTGTGTTTCCTGGATGCGCACCTTTTACAGTTGCCTCTTCTATCTCTGTCTCTGTCTCCTTAAACCCCAGTGGGACTCAGCAGATGGCCGCTCACACTGAGCCTGGTTCTGCTGGAGGTTTCTTCCTGTTAAAAACTTTGAACCAGTCTGACTGTATGATCTGGTGAACTGTAAAGTGCCTTGAGATGAAATGTGTTGTGAACTGACGCTATATAAATATGTTTTTGAAAATACTTTGGCTATAATTTACAAATTCAGATGGAAGTTTTTGGCAAAACAAAAGTTGGTTTTGAATCCAAACAGCCATTGCAACAGCAGAAATATATATATATATATATATATATATATATATATATATATATATATATATATATATATATAAAACTTAATATAAAAAGTCAAATAGACAAAAAAGGGCAATTCTGGGCGGACAGCCCAATGAGCGAGGAGAACTTTTTTATGTTATGAATTGCCTCAAAATTGGGAAATTTTTGAAAATAATCCAAATCTCTCAACATTAAAAGCTCAGATAGAGCTGTCTTAAAAGAGATGGAGGTTTATATGTTTTAACAGTTGAAAATTCCAAAGGATGAAGCAAGAAGTTAAAGGACAAAAACAACCAGAAGCAACTTGAACAATAAAGCAGAACCTGGAAGACAATAGAGCTGAATCAGCATCACACCATGAAGAAATCTGGACTCACCGAGCCTTTCTGCAGTTCCTCACAGCTGGAACCAGTCTACGTCGTCCATCATCTGATGTGTTGTACTTCTTCAGGTCCAACTCATGCAATACCTCATCTGACATTTGCAGCATGTAGGCCAGAGCTGAGCACTGGATCTCTGAGAGCTCCTTCCCCGATTTTACGAATTGTTGGATCTCCTGATAAACTGAGAGGTCCTGCATCTCCATTAGACACTGGAAAATGTTGATGCTTCTATCAGGAGAGATCATATCAGTGTTCATCTTCTTCAGATTGTTTATGACCCTCTGTGTGGTTCCTGCACTGTTTTTTCTCCAACCCAGCAGGCCTCCTAAGAGGCTCTGGTTGGACTCCACTGAGAGGCCATGAAGGAAGCGAGCTAACAGGTCCAGGTGGCCATTTTTACTGCTGAGGGATTTCTCCATGACTCTCTTCAGGAAATCCTCCAGAGATGGGCAGATGTATAAATACCCAAAGAACTTCCTGAGTTTTTTTGTATTTCTGCTGGTGAAGCACTGGAGCATGTAGGCTGCAGCCAGAAACTCCTGGAAGCTCAGATGAACAAAGCAGTAGACTGAGGTGTCGTCCATCCCTTTCTCCTTTTTAAAGATTTCATTGAACACTCCTGAGAAACAAGAAGCATCTTTGATGTTGATGCCACACTTTTCCAGGTCTTGTTTATAGAAGATCAGGTTTCCTTTCAGCAGATGCTTAAATGCCAGTTTTCCAAGAGACTGAAGCATCTTCCTGATGTCTGAATCTTTTCCAGCTCCTCTAAGATACTTTTCTTCCTTCTTTTTACTCTGAATCATCAGGAAGCGGATGTACATCTCAGTCAGGGTCTTGGGCAGATCTCCTCCATCTCTGGTCTCTAACAGACCCTCCAGAACATCAGCAGTGATCCAGCAGAAGACTGGGATGTGACACATAATGAAGAGACTTTTTAATCTCTTAACATGGGAGATGATCCGGCTGACCTTCTCTTCATCTTTGAACCTCTTCTTGAAGTACTCCTCCTTCTGTGGATCAGTGAAACCTCTGACCTCTGTCACCATGCGAACACACTCAGGAGGGATCTGACTGGCTGCTGCAGGTCGCGTGGTTATCCAGAGGAGAGCCGAGGGAAGCAGTTCCCCCCTGATGAGGTTAGTCAGCAGAACATCCACTGAGGTGGACTCTGTCACATCATTCAGAGTCACGTTGTTCTTGAAGTCCAGAAGAAGTCGACTCTCATCGAGACCGTCTAAGATGAACAGAATCTGGAATTGTTCAAAGCTGCAAATCCCTGCATCCCTAACCGGCTTAAAGTGTTTATGAATCAGTCCCACTAGGCTGAACTTTTCCTCTTTTAGAACATTCAACTGTCTGAAGTTGAATGGAAATATGAACTGGATGTTCTGGTTGGTTCTGCCTTCAGCCCAGTCCAGAGTGAACTTCTGTGTTAAGATCGTTTTCCCGATGCCAGCCACACCCATTGTCATCACAGTTCTGATCCGATCCCTTCTTCCAAATGGATTGAAGATGTCTTCTGGCCTGATTGCTGTTTCTGGTCTGTTTTTTTTCCAGGATATTGCTTCAATCATCCTGACCTCATGTTCATCATTGACTTCTCTACTCTTTCCTTTTGTGATGTACAGCTCTGTGTAGATTTCATTAAGAAAGGTTTCCTCTCCAGCTTTAGCAATGCCTTCATAGACACATTCAAACTTCTTCTTCAGAGACACTCTAAGGTCATGTTGACATCGACTATTAACATCTAAATGAAGAAACAGACACATGAGGAAACATTTCGGCCGGAGAACAAAAACTACCTCTAATGTTCTAACTGAGGGCTGCTTATGGGCATTTCTATCAAGGAAACATTCAATATTTACAGAAAATGTATTTTAGTTTAAA